CTACATCCAATTTACCATTGAAAAAGAAGATGAGAACCTGTCTGTCCCCTTTCTAGACACAAGACTCATTCGCACCAACAACAACAGTTTATTGGTAGACTGGTACCAGAAACCTATGGCCTCAGGTCGGTTTCTCAATTTTAGGTCATACCATAAGCTAGGGATTAAAATCAATTTGGTAAAACAGATGAAAACAAGGGTAATCAGCATCTCAGATAATACCTTCCACACCTCAAATTTACGTAAACTATCAAAACTGTTCATCAATAATGGTTATCCGAAGTGTCTGATTAACAAGATCATTTTTAGTTCACCTTCCAATATTTTGCCGAACTCTGGTGATGCAGGTAACAGTCGCACAACCCCCAATAACGGAACTGATGTAATTCCCAATAATAACATCAATCCTAACAGTACTAGCACCAACCCGGACTCCAGACCTGGTTTTGCTGTCCTGCCCTACATCAAAGAACTGACCCCTAAGCTGATCAGATTGTGCAGTCCTTTGAACTTTCGTATTGCTTGCAAATCCGTCCTCACTATAAACTGCATTTTTTCAAAAATGAAAGACAAAGTCCCGCTGCTTGGCTTAACCAACACAGTCTACTCCATCAATTGCAACAACTGCAACCAAATATACATAGGTCAGACCTCCAGATCTCTTAAAGGAAGGATTACATCACACAAAAGTGATGCTAGGCTTCATCCTGAAAGATGCGCTCTAGCATCTCATGTTAACACAACAGGGCATTCTATGAATTACACAAGTATCAAAGTTCTTGATAAAGAAAAACACCTTTCCAAACGTTTATTCCTGGAAATGTCCCACATTTTCATGAATAACAACTGTATCAACAAAAAGACAGATGTTAAACAACTGAGTGTCATTTACTCATATTTGCTAAACTGCGAAAAATTGGAGAACTTACATATCTCCCCAAATTTCAACTCTTCACAACCATAATTAGAATCTGTGTTTTGGCCGTTTCCACCAGTAAATTTCATTCCACTCAAAATATAATAATTCTCTCCTCACGATTTATTAATAATTGTTAATTTAAATTCCCATTAATAATAATATAGTTTATTCAACTGCCTCTGGTCGGTTTAACAAATTCCATCATAAAATTCTGAAAATCTCTTCATCTGAAGTGATTTGGCAACGTTTTTGGCACACGCCCACAATTCGTTCCATCTTTCAATACTGACATTGACATCCTTCGGCCTTCTGTCAAAGGGTTTCATGTCACTCATCAATTCATCATTCCACGACCACTAATTTGTGCAATCATCAGGTGGTTTCACGATGTAATGTTCTAATTTTTTAAAATAATTTTTAATCTGTTTTCAACGTGTTCTTGTCATGTTTTGTATAAATTTTGACTATTGTGCAACCTATTCAGCTCTCACCATGTTACTGGACGTTTCCCTCATCCTATGCGTAAACAACAATTAGCAACATTCTCACATACTACTGTAAGTTGAGTCAATTTAAATTCATTTTACACCTTTGTTGCTACTGTTATCATTGTAATTGCAGCTCCTGATGATGATGGCAAAGTCCATTGAAAGCTAGAGAGAATTAAAAAAAGTATAAAGAGTCCTCTTTGCTTAAATCTTGTCGAAGTACCCAACAAAAAGCGGAAGCTTTAATTTTTCACCTAACTGGTCTAGACGACAATGACCACGTCTCAAGTTATATATATATATATATATATATAACTCGGTTATCAAAAAAGGAATTAAAAATTAAATGACCCCATTTTCGAACATTTTAATGACCTGAGGTTTATTCCTTCAAGCAGTTCCGAGCTAGTTCAGTGCTAATTCCGAATTATTTTTCTGCGCATGTCCGAGTCCGAAGTACAGTTCAGAACTCGTTCCGAACTATTCTGTTGCAACAGAGAATTACATGACTTATTGTCTTAAACAGAATCTTAATTGAAGTAAAATTTAATGTTATGAAGTTTGTTAATGCTAGACCAGCAATTTGAAACAATTTATTGTTCTGTAAATCTTTCTAAAAAAAATTGGGTAAATGAGATGGCAGAGTTAACTCATTAAAATTATCAACATATGCCTATTTATTTCATTTCTGGTTCTTGGACCCCCTATAATCAACGCAACATATTCGTCTTCTCTTGAATTTGCTCCTATACTATAACTATCTAAAACTGTAATGACTCATCGATGTTCACGTGAACATCACTTAACTACCAGTAGTCGGCTGTTCATAGGCGGGGTATGAATGTTTAACATGGGTGAACTAGATTTGTCACATGCTTAATAAAGAGTGGTTTGAAACATATTGTAAGTCAAAAATTTGGGAATTGCCTTTATTCATCGTCGCTTCCACTTACATCTGACAGTACTAAAATGTCGCTATCGCTTTCGTCGTTGAAATTGACTATAACTGGCTCTATGATGGTGTCGATGTGGTGGTCAAGCTGCCACATTTTTGTTTCTTCCCTCACAACATGACGGATAGCATTCTGCCAAGCTTCGGGCGTTACTAGCTGTATGGAAGTCTCAAGTAAAACCTTAACGTCTGGTAATTTGAAGGTTGTGTTATGGCGCGCAATATAACCCTTCACTTGAGCCCAGATGAGCTCTATTGGGTTCAGTTCACAGTGGTAGGGCGGTAACCGCAGCACAGTGACACCACATTGACGGGCCATCTCATCAGTCACGTAACTAATGTTCGCAGGTTTGTGCTGTTTAATTTTTTCATACAATTCCGCTTTCACACATGCATCGTCAAACGGGATTCCTTTTCCGCGCAACCATTGCTGCATGTCACTTTTTCGAGATCCCATAGTCGGAACACGTTCGGCTCGACGACTATGGTAGGAAGCATTATCCATGACGATCACAGAGTTGGGCTCAACTCGTTGAAGCACCCCTTGAAACCAGCTCTCGAAGCAGCTGGCATTCATTTCGTCATGGTAATCACCTCCTTTCTTAGAGACGAAAATCAAGTCACACTCTTCTAAAAAGCCACTATCACTACCAATATGAGTTACGATCAATCTTTGACCTTTCCCTGACGGTCCACGAAGACCTGTTGACAAACCTTCAATGCTTGCTTGTCGGTTACTCACTACGTTTTTGTCTATCCAGGTTTTTTTAACTGTGTGACCTGCATTTACCCATGTCTCGACCAAATAATAGATTTTTCTGCTTTGTCGCCTATATTCAATCATTTCGCGTAGGTATTTTCGACGCCAGGCGACTATTTCAGGTCTCTCTATCAATACTGACTTCCGATTAGCGTTTCGTAACGAAAATTAATTTCGTGCAGGGATTTCCTCATTACCTCGACGCTCATTTGGGGTATAATTTCATTTTCCTTGATCGCTGCATGTACAGCCTTGAGGGTTATCTCATTCCTAAAGAAGAATTAATGTACGGTTCGCCTTAACGCCATTTTGCTATCGTCATCCAATTTAACGGCCTTTCGTCCCTTCAAATTAAACTTTGGATCAGTAATAGCTCCAGTTTTCTTCTTTTCATGCACCACCCTGCGAATGGTCCATTCTGGAACGCCTATCATACCTTCACAACGCGCGAGTGCATCTCCCTGCGACATAGTTCTGTTCAGATAATTGAACACGTTGAGCACGATTTCTTTCGCGTCCCTCTTCAGTGCTTTACGAAGCCGTCTACTTGTTCCCTGGCTTTCAGTACTTCCACTCGTGCCATTTGTACTCTCCATGGTTAAGTATAACCAAAACAGTAACCACAGAAACCACAACAATAACAATCACACAACAATTCTTATAAAAACACACAATATGCGATCGCTCAACGAAACACGTTCCAATGCGTTGCCGACGCCTATGAGTCTGCCGGTCGAGGTGCGTCTTTGATTTCATTGGTTCTACCGGCGGAGAACAATCAGCCATTATTTCCATCTCTGTCTGTGCTGTTGACCACCGCAAAGCCACAGAAACGACATATGTCGTACGCTATACGACTGTACTGGAAGGAAGCCGGGATCGAGCTCTGATCACGTGTTGATCACGCGTATGAGTCATTACAGTTTTAAATAGTTGTAGTATAAGTAATCTTCATCGCCGCCCATTTTTTGAGTATGTATAGAAAACGGCACAATAAGCGGTCAAGATTTAGGTTTGATGCATAAAAGGTTAGAAAAGGCACAAAATCAGTTATGAACACCTGAACAACGCCACTTATTCTGTAAACGCGCATGCGCTAACAAATCTGAACTTTTGGTTCTCTCTCAGAACAAGAAATGTTAGAACCAGTTCAGAATCAATTCGGAATCAGTACCATTTTCTGTTAGAACGGTAACTCCGATCTGCGCATGCTCGGTTCAGTTCAGAACTGGTTCGATGCTTTATTCGAACAAATCTCAAGTCACACGACACAAATTACGTTCATAAATGCTTCGTAAGGATAGTTAGTCTTTTCTCTTAGATGAGTCATGCATTAATGGGAGGCTTCAAAGATACGTCTGGCGACGCTGATTGGTCAAATGAACAATTTGAGGTTAGGTAAAGTTCGAATTTCAAGCATATCTTTCCCTTTTTTTACCAAACTAAATCGTTTAATATTCCGCGTAGGCCCCTAGAAGTTAAATAGCTACGGGATGACATACAGGTTTCGAGATTATTATAATTTTCAACTATATGATAAAGAAGTTATTCTCAAAGATCTGTATGTCACCACGTTTCTGAGAGACGGCGAGGTCACGCGTGACAAATAAATCTCCGCAGGTGTGTTGATACATGAGGAGAGCATTTTAAAGAACTTTAAGCGTTTGTAATCCATAAATCGATTTTTCGCAGAAAATGTGCATTGCATTCATAATAGATCTTGTATTACACAATTTAGTTTAGCAACAAAAGAAAAAGGCATACCTAAAATTCAAATTTTTCTAACCCCAAATTACTTATTTGACCAATCAGCGTCATCTATGCAGCCTCCTCACCCTAACAAAAAATGTATAAAATTCGTTATAGAAAAGTATAACTTACAGCATTTTGTGGTGCGTATCCTTGATGCCTCTGCTCGCCTCCACCTAACAAACCGCCTAGAATCTTCTCAGCCGCTCCTGTACGGATTGCACCCGCAAGCACGGACTGGGCTTGCTCCAGAAAATCACTGAATCCAGATTCTTCGTGAGCCTAGCATAGAGTAAACAACAACTTGATTTTTTATACTTGAACCCCCATGCAGGCCTAAGGTCTGAACACCCAAGGATAACCGAGATACGAAAAATGGGCGGCCGGCGGGTGTCGATCTCGCATTTCCTCCATAAGGAGCACAGTGTGATTTACATAGTTTTATCTGTTACTTACTCCTGGTGGTGGGGGTACTCCATATCCAGGGGGAGGTGGTCCATAACCACCTGGCTGGCCATATCCTGGTGGAGGGCCATAGCCTCCAGGTGGTGGTCCGTAGCCTCCTTGAGGGCCCATTTGTGGTGGTATTCCCTAAAACCAGACACATTCTCACAAAACATTCCAAAAAAATTATTAATAATGATGTCGGCATCATCCCCTGAATTGCTAATATGAGAAACTATTGAAGAAATTGTCATTAGATAGCCTTTTTGCAATTGAATCCTTAGGTGTGTGTGGCTACTTCATCTAAGATTTATAAAAGTTCAGTTAGTATAAAAATGTTCACGACAGGTAGTTCCCACTGAAACAGCGTGATTTTAAAATACCTTTCATATACAAGAAAGGAAATCCTATCACTCATCACACAATTTTTGTGAGAAACCTGTTGCTGTACTTGAAAAACGGAGCATTTCACGATTTTATTTCACCATTTATTCTAACTGTGATAGTATTTTCATTTAGGTATTTCCATAATAGCATACATTTTGTTTTAGAAGTAGTCAATTTTAGTTTATTTTCATTTAACCAATTTATGATTTTTGACAAGTCAGAAGCAGTGTCTATATTTTCATTTGATATGTACTCGTATATTAATGTAAAGGGTTGTCCAATAGGGACGCAGGAAAGTAAACGTCAATTTGACATAGACGCCATCTTTGTTTTCTGTCACCGACATGTCATTTTGTTAGTTAAATGTTTACCATTGATCGCTATGGAGTCATATTCGATTGAAGACCGCATTAAAGTTATTCAAGAGCACCACAAAAATAAAAAACACGTTTCGCGCGCTTCGTGAACATTTCGGTCGCAACAACCGCCCAAACGAAACAACCATCGGTCGTCTGATGCGTAAATTCGAGGCAACAGGTTCTGTGGCAAATCTGCCAGGCTCTGGCCGGCCAAGGAGCGTTCGCACACCGGAAAATATTGCTGTTGTGAAGGAGAGTGTGAGAGACGATCCGAAACAATCAACAACGCGTCGATCCCAAGAATTGGGCATTTCGAGAACCAGTTTGCTCCGCATTCTCCACAAGGATTTGATTGTACACGCCTACAAGATCCAATTGACGCAAGAGCTGCGTCGGGCCGACCATTTTTCGCGCCGAACCATCTCAGATTGGCTCCTTGAACACCGCCAAATTGATGCCAATTTTTCGTCAAAAATCATGTTCAGCGACGAAGCGCATTTCACTTTGAATGGGACGGTAAACAAGCAAAACTGCCGCATCTGGGCGAACGAAAATCCCCGTGAGTATCAAGAGCAGCCGATGCATCCTCAAAAAGTGACTGTGTGGTGTGCATTGTGGTCAAAAGGCATCATCGGACCTTACTTTGTCGAAAATGCGGCCGGGGACGCCGTTACCGTCAATTCTGAGCGATATCACGTGATGATAGAGGACTATTTTTTGCCGCAACTTGAAGGAATGGATATGGACGATGTTTATTTCCAACAAGACGGTGCAACATGCCACACAACCAACGTCAATATCCATCGATTGCAGTCCTTCTTCGGTGATCGCGTGATTTCGCGCAGAGGAAATGTGCCATGGCCACCAAGATCGTGCGATTTGATTCCCTTGGACTTTTTTTTATGGGGATATTTTAAAAGCAAAGTCTACGTCAACAAACCAGCCACCCTCCAAGAACTCAAAAACAACATCATTGCCGAGATAAATGCCATAGAACCGACCATGTTGCAAAATATCATTGAAAATTTCGACCATCGCGTGGACGTCTGTAAATTCAGTCGTGGTGAACATTTGAGCGATATTATTTTTCATACATAAATGGTATAAATGAACCTTCAAAATAAAGTACCCAACTTGATTTGAATATCAATCTTTCTTGTTTTAATATGCGTTTACTTTCCTGCGTCCGTTTTGGACAGCCACATATAATCTGCAAATATATGAATCTTGCAATAATCTAAAATGTTACAAATGTCATAAATGTATAAAATAAATCTTGGTCTTGTGTATTCTAGCCAATCATTTTCACTCCCAGTAATCAAAAACTTTTTGTAATTGTAGTCTATTTTTATGTAATTTAGAATCCTTGAACATCTGTGAGAATCAAGGTGATGGATTTATCTTTTTATAAATCGTTGTCTTGACTGTAGCTTCTTTCATGCAAACTTCAACATTATCCAATAAGCTTGCATACTAGCTATCAGCATCAACAAACATTTCAGTCATATCTTGCATTAAAAGTGCTTCTGGTAATTTTACATAGTTAATATTAGTGATTTCTTACACTTTGTTAGCATCAAATATACATTTAACTTATTAATATACTAACATCACAAAATTATCGAATCTCTCACCTGTGGACCTTCAGCATTCAACTGTGCAGCCTTAGCAGAACTTTCTCCTCCAGCTACACCAGTGATTCCCTCCCATGAAATCAAAGTGATGGTAACGTCGCCATCGATCAGAATATGTGACAGCTCACTCAATGGGATTCTGAAGGGAAACTCGCAGAAATGTTGACCATTTATGGCTAGCTGTAATACGGAAAAAAAGTGAAATCTTTGGGTGTTGGGATTTAATTTTTACAATCCTTATCAACGCATCTGATATTTACGCCGCGCCGGTGGTTTAAGGTTAAGTTGAAAAACGCTAATCTTAGCGACACTTCGCCTTTTTTGTACTTTTACTTAGGTACGAAATAAAGCCCATTTATTATTATTATTATCTGTTTTGCGGTGGCAATATGGGTATGGAATGAATCTTTACTGAAACTAGAGTTGTCGATTCGCGTTACTTTCGAGTATTCGTTACTAATCGTTACTTTTCTAAGTAATAATGTATTTGTTACTTTGACTACTTTGAATAATATGAGTAGTGTGATTATAACGATTTGGCAACATTTGCCCAGAGCAAGAGACCAATCCTAGACCATGCTGATGATATAAACATAAAATCATTATCTGTGGAAGGTTCCCTGGAGTGTGCTGCAGTAAAATGTTCCTTATATGGGTTGAATTTCATAATGTTGTCAATATATAGACCACCGTCTGGTAATATGCATGTGTTTTTAGAAAAAATGGAACGAATTCTACTGAAAATCCGCGATGACAGTGCCAAAATTTTCATAGCCGGTGATTTCAATATACAGGTAAATAGGTGTAAAACATTTTAGGAGGTGATAGTACAGCTCCTTTGCTATCAAATTAGTATACCCTATATTCAAAGGTTAAAAAGTTATGGAACATTTAATTTTTTCTAAAAAACAACCCAGATTACATAGTAAAATAGTTGAGATAAAAAAAAGTTGGTGATTAAACATTCTTTTTTTGGTGGTTTCAGGTTATTATTTAAATAAATAATTCTCATAAATTAAAAAACATATGAAAACACTACTGAAAACGTATTTATTTTCATTTAAATGTTAAATGAAAATTTTTATTTTCAACTTTCACATTAAGAAGTCTTTTGTTTTCCAAAAAAATCATAATAAAGAAAATGTACAAATAACTGCAAAAACTTCCTCGTTTCATTAGGTTTCTAAAATGGTATAATAACATATCAGTAAGTAAACCATTTAACAAAACAATATTACTTTGCTAGAAAGGACCGCTAAGCGCATTTCATTGTACTGAGCAGGTACACCGAGCCTTTCATGGTTCGGCCCTTTTTGTTATTTTTTGTGCCCTGTGCCATTATTCGGGTTTAAGTATTCGGAATCTGTCGTCGCTCCTCGGAAGCAAGCTCTACGTGTGTTATGAACTGACACAGCTGACGGATCAAGGAAAGGGAACTAAAGCTTAGGTTAGTTAGTAGAATGTCAACCTTTAACGCGGTAGGACGTACTTTTACTTTTTTGATCAGTTTTAATAATGGCGAGTTACCGTAACGAAGAATACGCTGATATTCTGTTTTGTTATGGTTTAAGTGATGGACATTCCGTTGAAGCCAGGCGAGAATACGAAAACCGTTTTCCGAATCGGCGAATACCGAGTCATCGAGTATTTGCTTCTGTGTACCAACGCGTCAAGGAAAGTGGACAGGTTCATGACAGACGTCATGATGCTGGTAGACCTCGGTTGTTTGACGACGGAGATCGAGAGGCAATACTGGAATGCTACGGCAGAGCAGCTTGGTTCGTTTTGCATTTGGCGAGACTTTACCCTTTGCATTACACACCGGTTCAAGTATTAGAAGAAGGAGATCCCGCAAGAAGAATTGATTTTTGTCGATTCATGCTTCATCGGGATCAAGAAGAAAACGACTATTTAACTAAAATATTGTGGACCGACGAGTCTAAGTTTGACAGAGAGGGGACAACAAATTATCACAACTTACATTATTGGGCCCCACGAGAGGCAAATCCCCACATGGCAAAGCCAAGAGTCCATCAAAGAAGATTTTCGGCAAACGTGTGGATGGGAATCATTCATACGTATCTAATTGGACCAGTTTTTTTGCCTGACAACCTGAATGGCGAATCCTATGAAAACTTTTTGAGATCCGAACTCTGGGAGTATCTCGAAGACCTGGTTGTCCCGCGCATTTCCGTCTGGGGTTAGACAGCGGCTGGGCGAGAAATATCCTTGTCGCTGGATTGGCCGAGGTGGACCGACACCGTGGCCAGCGAGGAGCCCAGATTTAACACCGTGTGACTATTATTTATGGGGGCACATGAAGTCACTGGTGTACGCTGAGCCCATAGACACTCTTGCACAGTTGAAAGAAAGAATTATTGCTGCTGCTGACACTATCAGAGGACAACTAACTGGCCGCGTCACGCGTACCAACATGAGAAAAAGACTACGGGCTTGCATAAGAAAGGGCGGGCGTCAGTTCGAACAACAATTGCAATGAATTTTACCTTCATTTCATTATTGTATTTTACTTACCAATTGTAGTAACTTTTAGTCAGTTTTTATTATTCTGAAGTACAATTACAACTGTGTAAATAATCTAATCGTGTAACTTAACCATAGTTTAAAATAATAACTATCCCATAGCTTACAGTTACATTATTTTCACAAAAACACTTTCTTATCAATCAGAGAGTTGTGAAAATAGGAGACAAGCCATTGGTAAATTTACTCCCTATTGTTGTATTACAATACATTATGTTTAGTTTCACACAGTTTTTGTGCACTTATCATACCAATTTAGATTCCTTATGAAACAAGGATGTTATTTAAATTGTTTGTACGTTGTTTGGTATTGTTTTCGAATCTTTTTTAATCTGTAATAGTTAATTATTGAAATAATAACCCAAAACCACAAAAAACAAATGTTTAATCGCCAACTTTTTTCTCTCTCGACTTTTTTACTCTGAGATATGGATTGTTTTTAAAAAAATCTTAAATCTTCAATAACTTTTCAACCTTTGAATATAGGGTATGGTATTATATACTAATTTCGATAGCAAAAGGGCTGCACTATCACCTACTAAAATGTTTTACTCCTATTTACCTGTCACCCTGTAGATTTTTCTCAGGAAAGTCTGAACAAACAACTCTTATGTTCACTTTTAAATTCATATGATTTACATATTCCAATAGTCACGCATAACATCTACCAGTGGATCTTGTATTGACAATATTTTCAACAATACCTCAACTTACGTATCTAATGTCATTAATTCGTTAATCTCAGATCACACTGCTCAAAAAATAACAGTGAAGGTTAATATGCACAATCTTGGTGATGTTATACAGAAAATGATATTCAGTTCAGAAAATAAAGAATTTTTTTTAACTAGCCTCAGATCTGTAAACTGGCAAAAATTACTTCAAATTTCTCAGAATGATGTAAACAAACAATGGAGTTATTTTAGTAGTATATTTCAATCTATTTTTGGTCAATCGTTTCCCATGAAAACAGTAAAAGTGACAAAAAGGCTCCCTAACCCAAATCATTCTCAGCAAACGAATAATATTAAGGAATCTAGGGACCGACTGGATGTTCTATATGTTATAAGCAACAGTGGCAATTCCTATAGACCATGCTATAACAAAGTCACAAGAGAGTACGATCTATTGTTAACTAATGCCCGATATAAGTCATATCAAAGACGTATACAAGAGTCAGATAATAAATCAAAATGTGTGTGGAGTATAGTAAAGGAAATAAAAGGTCAAAAAAGAGATGACTGTGTTATTCCAGGTGATCCTGAAGTTATAGCAAATGCTTTATTAATGAAGTAATTAAAATATTACCACAGGCACCAATACATAACTCTTCTGACTTTTTAGACCATGTGCAAGAGTGTATGCCACTAGAATATGTTACTGCTCTAGAACTAGCAGAACCTTGGCAAAAAACTTGAAAATAAAATGAGTAGGGGTGATGATGGTATTCCAGCTATTATTTTAAAATATTGCTTAGTAGTAATTTTGGAACCTTTGGTTCACATAATAAACAACTCACTTAAGTACGGTATTTTCCCTGAAAAACTTAAATTAGCTATAATTACACCTATATATAAAAAAGGAGATCCTAGTGACTTGCTAAATTATAGGCCAATAAGCTTACTTTCTTGTTTTGCAAAGATTTTTTGTACGCATAAATGTTACCACTCATAGAAATGCATAGCCACTTGTGTGAATGGTGAAAACCAATATTTTTATTCAAGGATATATTAAGAAATAGGTATCTGAGCAACAACTGGTCAACGCACCTTGTAGTCATTTTGATCAACCAGAATGAGAATCTCCCAAGACTGAGCTTGCCCGATGGGCAATTTTCCGCTTCCTTGTTCATCACCCCAAGTTCCATCTTTGTAAGAATTTCTGGCTATGTATCCCTGATTCAGACGGACGGATATATGGAGAGCAGTATCATCTCTGGGTTTGCGATTCGGACCCGTTGCTAGGTTGATGTTAAATCTAAGAAATTCAAAATGAATTACTTGTACAGTTTGTTTGCTAAAATGAAGATAAGCAACAGTGGCTCAGAGATGTTTGCCCAGTGGTTTGTGATTTGGTCTTGCAACTAAATGGGCAAACCCTATAGAAAGTTCAAGTTATCAATTTTTGGGATTTGGTTAACACAAAAACATTCATCAAAAATACTTCAAGCGCCATCTTCAGATACATGCGATTTTCTAGAATACTTGGTAAAAATAATTATATTTCTCACAGATACCAAATCCCAAGAATGCTTGAATCGATATCAATGGTCAAAAATTGCAAAGTGCATATACCTAGTGATTCCATTTGCACTTCCTATAATATCCAAATTCCATATAATAATAGTGGCAACACAGATGTGTCTGGCATAAGTCTGAATGGATCAACTCAACAAATATTTTTGATCAACACAACAGAAACTATGAAAGTTGAAAACCAAAATAAATTGTCTAGAGCCATAAGCTACTGATATCTTAAATTCCATTGCATAGTCACACTTGCATGATAATGAGAGTAACAGCATAAATACAAGGCAGTAAAAATTCATCCTGAAAATCTCATACATATTAGACAAGTCACCTAGTTAAATTGATTTGACCTTAGACAAACATCAGTGTTTTTAATAGTTATTACAGTGTATTGTTTCATTCACTCAAATCCAATTATATGAGCAGTTTTTGTTCTTACATGTACAGTAATGGGCAAAAGTATATAGACAAATTAATATTGTGCTGTATTTCTTTTTTAACTTGTTTTATTAATACACCAACCTGTATACATAATTTGTTATAGCATAATACTCACTTATACATAAATAAATTCATTAGACTCCCCAATTGATTGAAAAAAACTGGAACTATGAAGGACAAAAATATATAGACAAAGCAAAACAAAACAATTATAGAAAAAAGAAGCGAAGTTCATTGAATTACCAACCATGTTTGTGTTAATATTTTGTAGCATAACCATTATTATCAATCACCGCCTGGCATCGTCTCGGACATATATTGTAGATGTTTCTTGATAAAACATTCATAAATCTGTTTCACTTTTGCTCTAAAGCGGCTAAAAGTTCATCCTTTTTTGAATAATTTTTATCTCGTTTTTGTATGTATTCCCATAGATTTTCAATGGGGTTTATATCGGGAGACTGTGAAGGCCATTTGAGAACTGGTATTTTTTCATCCAGAAACAATTTCTTTGCGAAATTTGAAGTGTCCTTCAGGTCATTATTTTGCTGGATTGATTGATCCTAAGGGCATATTGTCTTCCATATAGGGTAACATGACATGCTTTAGTATGTCTGTGTATACAAACTTATCCATAATGCCATCTATTCTATGTAAAAGTCCCATCCCAAACCCCAAAAAGCACCCCCAAACCATAACAGACCCACCTCCATGTTTGACAGTGGGCAAACTGTACTTGGGGTTCAATCATTGTCCACTAGGACGTCTAATGTAATGAACACTATCCAAACATATTGAACTTGGATTCGTCACTGAAACATATCCTCTTCAAGTCACAGATGCTCCAATCAAGATGCAACCATGCAAATTGTAATCGGTCCTTACGGTTTTTCCTCGAGATTAGCGGCTTCTTACTCGGGTGACGTGCAAATAACTTCAAATTATTTAATCTTCTACTTATAGTTTTCTTAGAAACACTGACAATTCATTTTTATTAATCTAACTGAACTAGCATTTAGTTTTCTAGGCCGACCACTTCTCTTAGAGACTTCCAAGATACCTTTTTGTTTATATTTGTTCAATATTGCCCAAACTGCTTTACGCTTCAGCTTCAAGTTTTTGGCAATTTCGACTTGATGTTGACCATCTTTGTATAACTCAATGATCTTAGTTTTCACATCGAAAGAAATTTCTGGACCATGCGGCCTTGTCTTAAAATCACTCAACTTATTCCACAATACTTGATGAACACAAATTAATCCTCTTCTGATACGAAACTGTACTAAACCAATTTTGAAAAGAATTTGTCTACATATTTTTGTCCCTCATAAAAAAGTGCTTATATTCAGACTTGTGTTCATTGCAGATAATGTAAAAACAAGGAATTCAGTTTTTCTACTAATAACGCATTTATTTATGAAGCAATGAAGTATGAATTCGTTTTCTAAAGGTATTTAGGTAAATATTCATATTTGTCTATATATTTTTGTCCATTACTGTAATTTCAAAAAATAATATTTCAATAAGGTTTGATAGATACACCTTCCAACAAATGGTGTTTTTTTTTAACGGACAACAGTAATTTATTTGTGTCAACATGTATTTTTTAAGAATAATATAAAAACGTGTGAGTGGTTTCTATTTAAATGCGAATAAAAATGCTAAGTTGATTGGTTCCTGTGCAAGTCAATAATGTAGATCAAATCTTCCTTCCAAGCATTTGTCAAAGCTAACAGTTAAGTCAATGCAACTAAAAGCTACTGATCAAATTAATATATGACGTCTACAAAAAGCCATGCACATAACTCTACAGTCTTGAAACTGTTCTGTATTAGGTATGAATCCATACTTTTACAAGGCAAACACTTGGGCCCTTAGGTACTTTAATCTGATTTCAGCAGTTTTGTGGGCAACCCTACACTAACGCAAATGTCACTTGTCAACTTATCAAGGATTAGAAAGTAGATAACTCAGTCCACCACAAGTTAAATGCCTCATATTTAAGTTTATCTAAATCTTAAACAAATCTTAATCCTATTCGATATAAAGGTAGTAATTTTTTACAATGAGAGCATTCAGACAACATAAACCAGACCAACAGTGCAGCACTATGCTGAATAGCAGTACTCATGGGATAGGTTTGCCAATTTGACAGCAGTTTCCACTTGTCTGTCAGGCTTTATGATATGTTGGTTAATATTGCAAAATGTTAAAGCTGCTCAATAGCTACTGCTATTCAGTATAAAAGCATTTGCACCACTGCACAACTTTACACTGTCTAATGCTCCCAAAAATTGTGCTTGAAATATTATTTTCCACCAAATGTATTATCATAACAGCTAGCCCCAACTATAGACAAATAGGTAGTAGGCATTCTATAGATAAAAACATTTCATTTACTCATCTTATATAAATAGAGGTCAGTTAATATTAATGCAGGACTTCTGTTTTGCATGAATCTTAACAGAAGTCTACAAACCATAAACACATACCTGTCTGCTTCAGGGTGTGTTACACCCTGTATTCTACACATTTTCCCTGGTACCAGGCCATCTGGGATTTCTCCCACATACGGAACATCCTAAATTTGAAGAAAATTCCTAGGTAGATGAACATCTTAAGACGCAGTTTTCAAGTAGTAAAGTACAAAAAAGAAATAAATTTACTAACCGGATTCACTATTGGAGACGTCATTGCAGTAAAAATGTTGATCACCACTGCATGTGCAGACACTGCAGTATTTTGTTTTTCCTGCGCTTTCCAAAACACACAGACCCAGATTTTCAGATGTGTACGATTTCGAGGTCGCTTTTCATCGACCAAAGTGGAGGGGACAAGAATCCATGTGAGGTCATTTCTATTTATGTTATCCTGTTTTTTATTATTAATTGGCAATTTATATTTAAGAATGATCATACTAGGTACATCCGATAGTTCGAGATTTACCGAAACCAGGATTTTGAATTTAATATATCGATTCACTCGCATAAAAATGAGAAGGTAAAGTAGGTAGATTGCACCATGTGCACTGACATCAACATCCTTGCAAATTACGGCTGTCGCTATAGTTCTGTTCTGAGCTTTTTAATCAACGTATATATTTTATATTCTACGATAAAAAAGGTATAAAAACATAATAAAGACAAAATATTTCAAAAATGAGATGTTTACAACCATTTATATTACAAGCTGCATAACCAGTTGCCTAGTTTGAAATGCCAATCAAAATGTATCCCTGAATGTATGGCTGGGCAGTGGCGTAGGCTTACGTTGGTAATGTGAATAATTTTAACAATAACACTCTCCAAATAATTTCTTTCTATTATAATTAATTATAGCAGAGCCCAACGAAGCTTTTTATTGACAATAGATATTTTAGATTAAACTGGATATCTTGCATAGAGTTACGTCAAGAAATTCGTATTTATAACCATCGAGCCCCATTCTTCTCAAAGACACACCGCAGTAGCAAAGTTCTTAATTAATGCGGAAGGAGGTCGCAACTTTCACCCCTTGCCTCCGGGCGCACAAAATTTTGAAACAAGTCCTGATGGCATACCGTGCAGCACTCTGTTCAATTTTTTGGTACCCGACTATTGCCTGCAGCGCTTCGCGACTTGAGAACTGTTAGTTTTACTCATTTTCTGAAAATACTTCAATAATTGTATCACGTCAACAATGTTGTTGTATCTTCAGAAACTGCATTTATGAAAGTAATTCCTTTGGTTCTACTTTGACGCGCCAAAAACTGTGAAAAGACCTATAATTATTTTACACCTATCAGTGTTACTTCGAGGATAAAGGAATTTTGAAACAATAATCGACCACGCCACTGCCCTTCATTTTAAATCAACCCACACACCTCTGCCCAATGAAAAAATAATGATGACTCACTCCCTTGTTCGTTTTGCAGGCCAAGCACTTCCAGGAAAAAAGCACATGTTGAGATCGCACGCGCTCGTGTTTGGTCGTAGATTTCCGCTTTAGGCGGTGATGCTTATTGGCCGAGCCCCTCTAGCCTCTGACCAATCGCTATTCCCAGTCATGACATCATTATTTTGCAGCGTTGCCGAGGTTATTATAAATTCCTTGAAAGAATCTATTAATCAAAATATCATGAACAGTTTTGGGAGAATTTTAGGAAATTCAATGACGGATGAAGGTGGAAAATTCGACCAAGTACTGTTATCGCAGAATATTCGAATTAGAAGTATTGTTAGGACTGCTTGAATGCCGGGCCTAATAAAAAACGAAGTATCTGGCCAAAAAGTTGAAGGGCTGATTATAAAACGAAAGGCTTTTGTTCGGAAGTTCGATAATGCTTAGTTTTTCAGATACACGATGTCAAACGCTTTTTTGAAACATGGATTTTTCGTATCAAATCTAAATAATTCGTTTGCCATTTTTGTTGAAGTTTGAATACATTTATCGGACACAGATAACACGTAACAAATTTGAATTAAATCGTACAAATAAATCCCATATCCTTGGGGGAAAATATTAACAGATTTAAATCCGCTCAGCTATAGTTGTAGTAACCGTTCTTGACATTTACGTCATCAACGAGATATAAAATAAGTAAACAGATCGAGTGTTCGTACCATGGGTGAAACACTGCGCAGAATAATCTTCAGCGCATCTGCTACTCGCTCCAGTACGCATGAAGTGGGTAACAGGGGACCGCTGTTTTCAATTTCTTCCTGAAAATAGCACCAACTGTCGGCCTCCATTGACCGTATTTCCGCACGGGTATCACGTATCTTAAAAAGTGACATTATGCCGATTCTTTTTTGACATTATGCTGTTTTTTTGACATTATGTAGGTTATTCTACAAGATGTTAACTTAGCACTTAGTTGTACGTGTTGCCTAAACGTTACGAGGCTTGTTATCAATCTTTGGCTTTGATGTGACGTAAAATCTACTTCTGAGATGGCATTACTGGAGGTCTAAGCTGTCAGTTGTATGATTGTGTTGATAATTACATTGGGTTCTTGTCTCAAATACACTTAATTGAGATTCAAAGCTAGAAATTGGTTGCGCATCCACTTTTTCTTATCCATTCTGGAAATTACGTATACAAATTTGCTGAATTTCAAAAATCAGAGAGATAAGACACATTTATATTCACTGTACACTGTAGAATTACAAACCATATACATGCTAACAGTAATTGCACACAACGCAGGTGCGGTGATTGTTTCCCGTAATTCTCAGTTTTTCGTAATTTATAACTTTGAACATAACCTCTCTTCAGAAAGCACAACATATAAACAACCCGTCATAATCGGCATATTCAGTAATGATTTTCTCACACAGCAAATATCAGTGATTTTATACACATGCAGACCAATACACATAATCATCCAGATGCGATCTTGCTTTTAAACCAACTTTCTTCTCTGAGATAGAAACTACAGACACGGATCACTCAACCTCACAAAGCTGTGCAACCAATAATGCGTAGTTTAGTTGAGTGATTCCTCCACAGATGGACGTTCACAACGGTCCTAGTGAGCAAACGTGGAATGACTGTTTGCGCCCTAAAAACTACCTAGTCTGCAAGTTGACATCTTATGGATTTTTTTTTTGACGTTTTATAGGTTTTTTATATGATACGCGTGCCGGGCATTGAACAATTTTATATTGAAGATTGATAACAAGACAACTCGAATTGCACGCCGATGTCAAGTAAGGTGTCAGACTGACAAATATGATTGAGGGTACTCATACGTTTTCGAGACGGAGACACAACTAAATTTGGTTTCCGTTAAATTCCTGCTGCCCGTATCACCAAAAATTCAGCGAATTTTAACGAAATCATGTTAAGGATTACGAAAAGAAGTACTTTTAAAACAGTTTTACTCTTTTGTTGAAAACGAAACATTTAAAGACTCGTATTTGATTTAAATTTACAACATTTTGATATACTTACTTTCCGACTTTGGAGGATCAAAAACATTCAAGCAATGCAGATATAGAGATTTGTACGTTTCAACAAGATCGACTTATGTGCAGTTAGTTGGATAATAAAATGGAATAGCCATTTCCCAGAAAATAAAAGTTAGCTAAGCAATGCGAATGGACCAAACAGCAATGTTTTAGCATAGACCGTGATCTTTTAGTAATGCTTGGCAACAGCGCAAAAAGGTTCCGCAGTCGGTGGTTTCTCGGAAAGGGTTTTCCAGCAGTGACTCATTGTTCGTGTTTTTCGTCTTCGGGGGCACACTTCACACTTGTTCGGTCCTCTGTGTGTAACATTCGGGCATCGATTTTTCATAACCTTAAAACACTTTTCCGGCGAGCAAATTTCCTTTATATTCGCTTGTGTGCCCAGCAGCTGGTCCGAAAGCCGATCAAGGTTACTTCGGAACAAAATGAAGTCTGAGTTGAGCGACGGGATGTCAAATCATTCGGACTTTTCCAACGACAGCCAAAATTCGCAAATTTCCGCGGCTGATATTTTGACCAGCTTCAGCAACGGGGTCGTCCTTGCTCCAACAAATGTAAGTAGTTTCATAAGTTATCAAATTGTGCTGCAATGTCATGTTGAATTTACAGCGTGCAAAGAGAGGTTATGTTCTATGTTTTGATTGTCATTCATTTGTTTTTGTTTGGCACTGCCTTGATTTTATTAAAATAATGGTTCACAGACTTGAGTTTACGATTCAATTTAAGAAAATCAGGTTTTGGAGTAGAACAACGAATTCGGACTAGGACCGTATCGAATTATTCGTGGGAGTAGAAGGATTCAAATTAACTTGAATTCAAAAAGTCCAATCAGATTCAGGCAATGAACCCTCCAAATTTCTTGGACTTGGATATTATGGTTTAACTCTTATAAACAATGTTTTGAATTAGATTCCACTCATATTTTCCACATGAATGCTTGGTAGTTTTAATATTTGCAGGGTAAAAATAGAGACAATAGTGTAAAAATCATGATGGAAAACCTAGTTTGACATTTGTTAAATTATTCCCAATGGGTGTTACACCTTATACAATGAGTCTAAAATGCCCCAGCAGGGGAAGCAGGTATACATGTGTACCTCAGAGCTAGACTAGGTTAAGTCCATTTTTGCCTAAATGAGTTTTATATCTTGGATAATGTTATTTCATTCAGTGTGTGACTTCACATGATTTATAAACTCATAACTTTCCCTATTATTATAGGCAGGTGGACGCCGCAAGTAGCAAATGAAAATTCACAACTATTATCTTGGGCTAAACATATAAAGCTCATCTTAAGCAAACATGTAATTAACCTAGTCTGTCTCTGAGGTACAGATAATGTATAGCTATGATTAATTTGTCATTAGTTATGGAAGTTGAAGGAGAACCAATAAGTTTTGACCTACATCCACCTCATTGGTCTTATCTTATGTAACATGCCATACAAGTGACCCCTTATTGGTCCTGGTAAGGTGTGCATGAACTGAGCATTGGTAAAGTCAAAATGCCACCAGGTTTGAAAAGCTGTTTTGGCACATAAGGGACAACCTGCCACCTTTCCTAGACTTGCTACATCCTTGACCTCAGCAAAAAATATTCAGTGTACTTTGGGAGATGAAGTTTTCTACTATAATCATGTTGGTATTCTTGATATAATTCATCACTACTTAACTGGCAGCATTGCTGGAGAAGTACAGAGTGGACTGAGAAGTCAATTCATTTACTGATCATATTTTCAGTAACAGGTATTGAATTGCAGTTGACATTACTGATTGCTAGATTTGTGATTTAAGTCTGATGAGTACAATGAAACAACAATACCTTTTGATTTCATTAGAATTCTTTGGCATCATTGGTCTGATTTTCAAAAGCTACAACCTTAGCATGGTATTGACTATTTCACTTTCACAAAAAAATCGCTACGGACTCGAGCGAGTTCAAACTTGTATTGAAGGCGGATCCAGTGTTGCCAGGTGGAGTCGACGATATTTCGGTAGAGTTGTATGGAATTTTTCGGTAGATTGAATACCGAAGAGTAAATGAAGGCATTTACTTAAAACAATTTTATTTAACTCAAAACATAATCTAAAACAGAAAGACAAAACAAAAATAAACAGTTTATATCTCACTTTAGCTAACAAAAAATAAAATATTCGTAATAAAAAACAGAAAAAGTATATAAAATAAAAAATTTGTAAGCTATATTGGATAATCATTCCTCCGATTCATTTTTGTATAAGTTTTTATCAGTCATATTATC